ACACATAAGCTCAATAAAAAATAGAACAAAATTTTCAGTTTTGGGAAACATATTTGAACACCTTAAAAGCTAGCATTTTACATAACTAAGGTTGAACTTAGAATTTAATGTAGGGGTGCACAACCTGCGGCCCGAAAACCCTTGATGAGCGGCCCTCGGACGCAATCTGAACAAAATTTTGAAAAAGCAATTCCATTTTTCGAAAGAAAAAAAAATATAATATAATTAGTTTGGAAATTTGAAATTTACGCAATTAAGTTTTTAACGCACCCAATCTCAATCGATGCAGTTTTCCGATCGCTATTTTTGATTGGTTAACGCTACGGATTAAGCATAGTTTTGAAAATCTCAATATCTTTAATACGTCATTATAACGATACACAAATTTCGAAGTTTAGTTATCAAATTTGACGCTCTTCGCGGATTTATCAGAAATCCTATGATTTTTCAGTGGTTATTGCTACCCATTTTCACTTAGTTTCCCTACCCATTTTAACTTAGTTTCCCTATCCATTTTCACTTAGTTTCCGAAATCACGATTTATGAAAGTTATGAGGCGCTTTATTTGCGCAAATTTATATCAAATCTGAATGACTTTTGATCCTTTTTTTTGGCAGTTATTGTGTGGCATTCTCGTAGCAGACATTTTCTCGTGGGTTTTAAAATTTTGATATTTAAGCAAGATATTACGAATCGTGAGTAAAGAATCACTTATTTAGATAACCATTTTTTGACGTGATTTATTTGTGCCGATTTTATGGCAATTCAAATTCTTTTTCAATTGCTACACATTTCTACTATGTTTTGAAAGTCTAGATATTTTTTATACGCTATTGCGACACTTTAATTTCGAATCCCGCATTCAACGCATTTACAGCAATTTCATAAATATAAAGGTATTTGATAGTTTTTTGGTACTTATTACTATATTTCCCCCGTGATTTAAAAATTTCTAAAATTTTTAATACTATAATTTGACAACATGCAAGTTTTTAATCACGTAAATTAAAATAATTACTTTTTTCGTGCTCTATTTGTGCTAATTTTAACACAAATATAAAAGGTTTTTTGAACGTGTTTATTTTTTATTTCCCGTTATTGCTGCATTTTTACTTGACTTTGAATATCCTGATATTTTAACATAATATTACAACCTGTGAAACTTGATTCTATTTTAATTTTTTTTCGTAACTTAAAAAAAAGTAATAACGTATCCCAGCAAAATCGACACCTTCCCGAAGCAAATAAATAACAAGATGTGTAGGTTTATGTTAGACAGCCCCTTTCACAAAAAAATAATTAAAAATATGTGCCTATTACTTTAGTTTCATGAACACGCGCTAATTTCACAACACACAGAAAATCTATTCTTTTTGTCGCCATATGATTTAAAAATCACATATCTCGATTCGTATTTACGTGTTTTAAAAATCATATATCACAATTCGTATTTAAGTGTTTTAAAAATCATACGTTTTGATTCTTTTCGCAATTTAAATAATTATCGTAATTCGTATTTAAGTGATCTTAAAATTGCACATCGCATTAACTTTAATGAAATTTAAAAATCATTTACCGTGATTCGTATTCTCGAGATTTAAAATCTCATATCGCAATTAGTGTTTTGGCTTTTTAAAAATCCTACACTTTAACTCTTCTCCCAATTCAAAAATCATACACCGCGATTCATATTCACAAGATTTAAAAACCACAAGTTGCGATTCATATTCACGTACTTTAAAAATTATACGCTGTGAGACTTCTCGAAATTTAATAAAATCCCACATCTCGGCTCGTAAACACGTGATTTGAAACTCACGCATCGCGTTTTTTGGTTACGAATTTTAAAAATCACACATAATTCATATTGAAGCAATTTAAATATAACACATCACTATTTCAAAGCTGCCAACAGAAATAGGAAAAAATCCAGCAGATTTTACGAAAATTAATTTCATGATAATTGTTACATAAGTTACTAAAAATTTTATACATAGGAAATATTACAGATTTTTATAGTCACCAAAAAAGAAAAACTGCAATATTTTCCAGTCATGATTGGCATTAAATATGCTTAAAATGTACTGCATTATGTTTACTAGTAATTTTGAATAGTAATAGGCATTTAATTCATAAAAAGGAATAAGAATTTAATTTATTGAAAAAGGAAATAAAAATAAACATTTTAGAACAAAAAGGAAAAAGGTTTTTAGGCTGATTTCTGAAAATGAGGCTAGCTTCTTTATAGATTAGTAATACTAAATTTTTTCTGATAAATTCAATCTGATTTTTTGATTCTGTTTTTTTTTCATTAAGTTTTGCAGTGTCTAATTTTAAACATTTAAAAGTATTTAATTTCATGCAAACAAATTACAAAGTTAACACGTTGAATGCACACTAATTTTAAATGGCTTGTCCATTCAGTCTGGCCAAATGGTAAACTACAAAATAGTAACTACAAACAATCGAAATATGCAAATATTACAGATTTCGCGAGTTTTTTAAAAGGTTTAACATGACATATCTGTAAAAAATGGTTAATTATATAAGCCTATGAATTGTTTAGAAATAGTAGTGGACAAAATTCTAATAAATTGCATTTATTGAACCAAGAATCACAATTAATAAAGTTGAAAAAATTTATTCGCTGCCCAGAGTAAGTTGCCATCTCTGTATATATAAATAAAACTATGTGTTCCATATTGCATTAATTTCTTCAAACCATTTTAGTAAAAATAATATTAAAAAAAAAAAAAATTACTTGAATTATGTGATTTTTGGCTTTGCCGGTCTCCGGTGACCACAGTGGCGCCACGAATAACCTCAGTGCCAATCACCAGTGACCCCCATGGCATTCAACGTGTTAACTGCCAAAAAGAATTTAGTGCCTAGAATAACCTACAACAGCCAGTGTTTTCACTACAGCGCGAGAATCTCGCATATTTTTTTCTTTTCTCGCATTAAAAAATGATTACCGCGAGAAATTAGCGCATTCTATAAATCAATTTCAAAATTCGCGAATTTCTCGCATTTTGGAAAAAGCTTCGAATTACGCCAATTAGAATAAAATCCATTTCACTTTTCTTCCTGGATCTTTCATTATTTTCAACATTTGCCCCAGTTATCTAGATTCCCGATTTACCAGTATTGTTCAGAACTTTTTCGAACAACAGAACACAACCCCTCCGAGCCACGATACCCCTTTCAGAACACATTTCTCTGCAACCACGTGTTTACCGCAGGTAACGTTTTTTCATGTAAGGCGTTCAAATTTTTTATGCACTAATGTAAGGTGGACAAATACCTAGTAAAGGCAAAATCTTCTATGATGATGCAGCATGAATATTCAATGCTTTAAAAAATGGAAGACGTTAAAAATGTATTATAATGAAAGAAATTTTTTTTTCAAGTCTATTTGTATTTTTTCAGTTTTTAGAAATCTCACTTAACTTTCTGAAATCTCACCCTGTTTTTGAGAAAGGGTGAGAAATTCTCACCCATTTTTTTTCTATGATGAAAACACTGATAGCTGTCAACATGTTTGTCGAAATACTTGGGCATGTGGCCCTTCATTAGTCAATCTGCTGTGCATGTGGCCCTTCACTCATAAAAGATTGTGCACCCCTAATTTAATGGTACTAAAGACAGTATCAAAAGGCAAAAATTAATGCCAGAAAATGTTACGCAAAGTATAATAAATTTCAAATTTAGAAACAGCTAAATAGAAAACCTATAAAAGTAATTACAAATTTTTACAACACTCATTTATAGCCATTCGTAGATAATGAGGACAAATGATAGACAAGAATGTATACTACCTTATATATAGTAGGTAATAACACCAATATACTCTTTATACTCTTATAGAAAAACCATGCAAACTAAATAAACAGCTATATATTGCATGTTAAATAAAGCAGGCACAATACTGAATGTTCAAAATAGTCAGGCACAATATCATAGGATAGTTACTGATATATTAACATACATAAGACCATGAGGTGAATAAATTTAAATGCAATAAGCTGTATAATATTCAACATTTAAAAGAATAAAAATTTCAAAAGAATAATGAAATATTTTAATATATTCAGGTAATTAAATGTACAAATATTTGAAAGATAAAAATAATTAAAGAAATACAGGTATTTAAGTCCAATATATAAAGACTGACTAAGTTACTAAGACTAAAAGTTGGGATATTCACAATCAAGTTAGCTGTAAAACAAAACCAATGATAGTTTATATATTAAATCATAATAGATACTAAACTTTGTTTATACGTTTTTTTAAATATAAAGGATTAGGAATAAATTATAGGCCTGGTTATTAAAACAATATTTACTATAACTTTAGAATTGTAGAAGTCCAGTAAGTAAAGACTGGCAAATTAAGATTATAAAAGTCGGGATATTTACAATTAAGTTCGTTGTAATATAAAACCTACGATAGTTTATAATATTAAACGATAATGGATAACTAACTGTGTCCAGATACATGTATCTAAATATAAAGGATTAGAAATTCATTATAGGCCTAGTTATTTTATTATAACAATTTTTATCAAAACTTTAGAATTGTATAAAAGCTTACTTAGGTGATTGATGAGAAACTAAGGAAATTTATAAACTGTGGCAGGAAAACCAACTGTTCATATTAAAAAAAGACGCAAATGTTAATTGAGATATTTCAAAAATGATTAGTAAAGAAATAAAATTTCGAATCAACTATTTGAGTTCTGTGGGGAAAAAGAACAGTACCAAACAGCATGTGAATGTGCACTGCAAGGAAACGGGATTAACCCGCCGAGCTGAAGTTGCCATTTGCTTTTCAAAAAAATTATTGGAATTAAAAAAAATTAACTCAACTCAAGCATCTACAATTATCAGTGAAACAAGCCCTTCTCAAGAGCAATTTTTAGTAAAATTTTACACAATGTTATTTAGTTTTTAATAAAAGGTACTGTTGGATTTTTGTAGGGAAAGCTTCTTTCATTGCGATCAATTGCAGGGACAAAAGATTTTTTTAACTGCGACTGCCAAGATTAAAATAAAAACAAGTTTCAGTTTCGGAATTGGATTCAATGTCAAATCTTTGAAACTGAAACTAAGTAATTAAATCTTTGAACCATTGCAATGGATTTAGTTTTTAAAATTCGTGGGGTAGTTAAAAATTATGAATGGGGCAAACTAGGAGTCAATAGTATGGTTGCAGTTCTGCAAAAGAGTGCCGACGATAACTTTAAAATTATGGATGATCTGCCTTACTCAGAACTTTGGTTAGGAACTCATGATTCGGGACCAGCTACTATTCCTCACTTGGTGAACAAAAAATTGCTTGACTGGCTTCAGATGAATCCTATAAGCTTGGGTGAAAACATTTCCAAAGAATTTGCCTCATCTGCAGGCCTTCCTTTTCTTTTCAAAGTTTTATCAGTAAACAAAGCCCTGTCAATCCAAGTACATCCCGACAAACAGACTGCTTCCAAATTGCACAAAGAATTTCCTCAACATTATCCTGATGATAATCATAAACCAGAATTAGCAATCGCATTAACAAATTTTAAAGCTCTGTGTGGATTTCGACCCCTGAACGAAATAAAAGCCTTTCTTCAAGAAATCACTGAACTTCAAAAAATTATTAACGTTGATTTGGTTAAATCATTTCTCGAAAAAGGTGATTTGCGCTCCGTTTTCACAGCCTTGATGACATCATCCTCAAGTGTATATGAAGCACAGATCTTGCAGATAATTGAAAATTTTAAATGCAATAAATATACCAGTGACTTATCAATATCAGTTAAAGATATATTTCTTCAAATATGCGAACAATATCCTACCGATATAGGCTGTGTATGCATATTCTTTTTAAACTATGTGAAGTTAAAAAGTGGAGAAGCTATATTCTTAGCTGCTAATGAACCACATGCGTACCTCAGTGGTGATTGCATTGAATGCATGGCGTGTTCTGACAATGTTGTTCGAGCTGGCTTAACCCCTAAATTCAGAGATGTGCAAACATTATGTTCTATTTTGACTTATATTTGTAAATCAGCTGAAGAAAATATGTTCGTCCCTCAAAAAGATGTAAACGATCCATTCGTCCTTACCTATGCTCCTCCAGTGAAAGAGTTTGCTATAGATTCCATTACATTGCCTTCTGATACTATTGAATATAAGTTAAAAACTTTACAAAGTGCTTCTATATTACTCATTATTAAAGGCAGTGGAGTTAGTTGTTATGAAAAGGAGGAAGTTAATTTAAATATTGGATCTGCTTTATTCATTTCTGCTAATTGTGATGTTATTATCAAACCCAGTGAAGAGTTGTTAATGTTTCGAGCTTATTGTCTGGGTTAAATCCATTAAGATACCCATAATTCTTTTAAATACTAGAATCTTTTCTTTATTTGAAAGATATTTCTTTAATAGTGCCTGTTATCACCAGTTGAAATTTCCAAAAGTGTTTTTATTTGTTAAAAAAATTACCACTCAGTTTGTTTATGGTATTATATTTATAGTATTATATAGTATTGTATTATATATTGTATTTAGTATTATATATTGTATTAAGTTTTATCTGCTAAACAAGTGACCATTTTGTTAAAAAAAAATCAATACTACAGTCTTTTCTTGCAATTTATCTATTACTGTCATCGCGTTTCTTTAGTTATCAATATGGAAATCTTTCCTCTGAATCGATCTTTTACCGTCATATATTTATTCATTTGTATCTTATATTTTAATGCTCTTCTCATTAGTGAAGAAATATGTTAAATTACAGAAGGATCAGGAAACACTTGTAAAGGAGCTTTTGTTATACATTTTTGAAGATATCTCTGTATTGTGATTTGCGACAGAATAATTGGAGAGATTTCCATATCGTGATCTGTGGCAGAATAATCATCTAGTCTTAGCAACTTCTAGGCAGCGACCCGGGTGAAACAGGGGGAAAAAACGTCACAGAAAGGGGCCAACTCTAGAGGTATAACTCCTAGCCTCTCCTGGCAAGCATCCGCATGTTTTTTTTTTTTTTTTACACTTGCAAATTTTAAATCTATGTGACACTTTGGCAATTGTAGTTGGTGCAACAGATCACGATACGTAAATATCCTCATATATTTAACTATGTTTTTGATTATTGGATATTCAACAATAGTTTTTTTATTTATATGCTTTGTTCTTTCCTGGGATGAAAAGAATGTTGTGCTTCTGGCATATCTTATTCAGGTAACAAATTTTAATTCAGGTAACAAATTTTAAATGCAAAATTCAGGCAACAAATTTTAAAATTGTCACCATGAAAAGTTTTAACATGGTGTTGCATTTTCAGAACTTTATAATCAAAATAGAAATTTTTTCTCAACATACAAATTTTTTGTATCTTAGAGAACTTTGAAAAAAAAGGCTTTAATTTGTAAATCCTGGTTAAGATATCAAAAATATCAAATCCATTATATTATAACATATTTATTTTAACCAAAAAATCAATTTGATAGAGAAATATTAATATCTTTTAAAGCAATCAAAAAATAGGGATATTAAATAATTATTTCTCTTTTATGTGTGAAGGATTTTTGAAGTTTCAATGTTGACTGTTGATATTGCATATAGCAGAAATATTTCATCAAATGAAGAAAATGTGTGTGGAGAAAAAGAAATTTTGTTGTAAAATGATTAAGAATCAAATTATTTTTAAATTTAGTAGAAAATCTAGTGATTACTGCATGTTACAAAATCAATTAGACTGGTTTTGGTCATTATATTTTTAATAAAAAAATATAAAAATTCAGTTTTGTATATAGATATTTATTATGAAATTATCATAAATTGGCATGCTTAGTTAACAACAAATTAATAGCTTTTGGAGCGTGCTGTGTAAGAAGTGAATGATTTTTTTCTGCTAAAGCTTGGGCGTGTGTTTGCTGATATAAGCGGTGGTAGATCTTAAAACTGTGTTGTTTTACTTTGGATTTAGTTAGATAATTATGTTTTTACTTATGAATACTTTATTTTTACTGAAATAAAGATATTTTGTTAAGAAGTTTGTGTTATTTTCCTTAAAGTAACCCAACACAGATAAATAATTTCATGTTGCGATTTATATTAATGCTATTTATAAAACCAATGGTAGGATTTGTATTCATGCATTTTTAAAATTAAATATTCCAATTCATATTCAGGCGATTTTAATATCAAACATTGATTTTCTATTTGTGTGATTTAAAAGTTATACAATGTGATTTGTATTCTGATGATTTAAAAATTACATATCACAATTCACGTTTTTTGGAAAAATTCATATTAATACGATTTAACATTTAAAAATCCACAATATTATGATTCTTATTCATGCATCTTTTAAATTCAAAATTATGATTATGAATCGCAAGATATTAAAATCAAAAATCTCGATTTTTATTCATGCGATTTCAAATTCAAACATCATGTTTCATATTAAGTCATTTATTTTAAAAAAATAATTAAAATATTCATTCTATGGATAAAAAGCACAAAATAGTAAGTATTTAATCCTGCTTATAATTTAAAATATGTTTGTAACATTTAAATTATATTTTCACACAAGTAATTAAAAAATAATTCTCAAAAATGTTTCCTAAAGCTAATTTTATATGTTTCATGAATTGCAATTAATTGTTATAAAATATATTTATTTTCATTGGCAATGTTCTGTTAGGAAGATTTCCGTGTCTTGATTTGCGGCAGGATAATTACCATATCTTGGCAACTTCTGGGCAGTGGTTCACAAGAGACTAAAAGAACGAGACCAACTGAATGTGTAACTGGCAGTCAGTTTCAAGTAAATCTCTAAACGCTTTTCATTTTTAAAAATTTGCAAATTTAAAATCCATTTTGTACCTTGGTGATTGTATTTTGTGCGACAGATCAGGCTACAGAAATATTCCCTTTTTATTTCTTAAAATAATATGGCTTATAATTTTTGCAAGTTATATTCATTTATCTTTTAAGGTATTAAAATTTCATGAAATAAGATTAAAAATAAATTAAACAATTTCTACTCTTTTTATGAAAATTATGCTTAGAATTTTTAATTTTCTAAATTCATAGTAACCTCTTTCAAATGTTATTTCTTGCTAAAATTTCAGGTATATTTTCATGACGCAATCAGCCCTGAGTTTTTTTATTTTTTAACTTATTATTCATTTTTTAATCATGTTTAGTATAATATTTGTTGTCCCTAAGAATAAGTTTTGAAAACTGTAAATAAACTGATGATAAAAAGTTTATTTCTCACTTTTNACCTCTTTCAAATGTTATTTCTTGCTAAAATTTCAGGTATATTTTCATGACGCAATCAGCCCTGAATTTTTTTATTTTTTAACTTATTAATCTATTTTTTAATCATGTTTTGTATAATATTTGTTGTCCCTAAAAATAAGTTTTGAAAACTGTAAATAAACTGATGATAAAAAGTTAATTTCTCACTTTTATGGATTACTACTGGTATTTACGATATATATATATATATATAATTATACTATTGTATTGATATATTTTGCTAATGCTCTATTAATACAATTTTAGGAAGCACTATTTTTGCTGATAGAATCGTGTGAAATGATGAGAAGATTGCATGATTTTTTCCTTTATTAAAGAAATCTTTTTATCCTTTTTTTATTCCTTTCTTTGTTTTCTTCATATTTTTCTTACATGCATGTGTATATTATAGAAAGAAGAGAGACAAAAAAAAATTAAAGAAAAAAGGAATTTACAAAAAAAATTAGGAATTTATAAATTTTATAAACTGTGCACAAGCTGCAAGCATTTAGAACCCATATAATAACATAAAAATAAGAAAAATAAGAAAAAATATTTGCTGTTTAATTTTAAACTGTTTAATTTTAAATGTCAAAATTCACAATTTGACCAAAATCAGTTATAAAATTTTATTTATTTTTCAATTATTAATTTTTGTTAGTGAGTTATAAAATTTTTTTAAAAAAAAGCCGTATTTTTGTATTCAACCGATATTTTTAAAAAAAAACTTTACTTCTATAATTACAATTATTAAGTTTTAAAATAATGTAAAAAAATACATAATTACATAATATTTTTTTTTATTAATTTAATAATGTTTAAAATTTTTATAAATAGTAAGGTTTGAACATTTTTAAATCTCATTAAATGTATATAATTTTCGAGGAAAAAAATTTAAATAATTTGATCAAATAAGGTCGAGTTGTTTCCAAGTTATAAAATTCATTTTAAGTATAAATAAGAATTAAACCATTCACATGAGGCGTGACAATTTGATCCAATCATTTTCTTCTTCTGTACTAAATTCTTACACAGTATTTACTAAAATCAATGCAAAGAAAATAAAGTCATATTTGCAAAAACTAAAATTAGTGAAGAAATCGTGTTAGCCAAAAAAAATTTTTTTTTCTTTTTTTTTTGTGTGTGCCTTGCTTTCACTAATATAAATATAAGGAATTGCTTAAATTAGTGAAGAAATCGATTCATTATTATACTTGTCTCTTTCAGTGAAAAAAAAAATATCATCAAGATTAACTATTGTCTTAATGATCGGATTTTCACATGTTAAAAAGCAATCTTAGTGTTTCAAGGTGTTTATCTCTAAAGGTGGTCTTTGGTTCAAGTTATTGACTAATGCTAACTATTAATTAAGTTACGAATTCAGGCACATATACGTACTTCCTCTGAATAAACATTTTTTTTTTCTGAAAGATTTAGATTTCTGACCTTCTAACTACAGGGGGGTAATTGCAATCTGGAAAATTTGGCTCAAATAGTTCAATCAAAATAATTTTTAAGCAAAGCGAAAAAGTTTTGTACCAAATTATAAAATTCGCTAATCCAAATTCAGTGTAAAAAATTATTTTTAAATAATCATTTCGTATTTTTTATTGTTTTATTCAGTAAAAGCCGAGAAAAAAAATTTAAATATGATTGTAAAATAAAATAAAATGGCGAATATTCGCCTCTCCTTTCGATTAGATAAATGCGTTTTTCGCCGGCTCTTTATAATTTCCGCGATGTGTTTATAATTATAGGGTGTTTCTTAATTTACATTTTTAAAGTCCTCGTCAAAAATGTTGGCACACTAGGGGGCGTACATTAATATTTAAGCGTGGAAAAGAATAATTAGAAATCTAACGAATCATGGAAAATATAAAACTTCGAGGCTGTGTTCATATCCTCATTTTTGTTCCCTCCATCAAACAAACAGATTTGATGTTTTCCATCCATCTTTGATAGTAGCAAATATTAAATTAATTTGAAATAGTTGCCTTAAATATTAATTTGTGACCCTTATTGTAAATTTACAAAGATTCAAAACTTTTCCCCCTTTGTAGTAAATGGTGAATGATGCACGTTAAATCTGTCGAGTCGCAAAGTCCTCCATGTTCCCATAACAAATCAATATCTCTAGGGGTACTGATCCAGAAGTTTCCTTGTCTTCGGGATTGGTTCAAAACTACAAGGCTACGGAGTTGAACATCAGCAGTCGTAAACCCAAGAATTGGGTCGGCTGTTCAACGACGGCTATAAAGTAAAAATAAAAGCGCTTGAAACGGAGCCGCGATGGCTCAAGGGATAGAACGTTCGCCTTCTAATGACGTGAACCGGGTTCGAATCCCAGCAATGGCTGGCAATACGAATTACGCATCCGGTTTGCACCGACCACAGTGTGACGTAAAATATACTCAGTGGTAAACGGATCATGGGTTAGAGTCCCCTTGCCGTCAGACTAACCGTGGGAGATTTTCATGGTTTTCCTCTCCATGTAACGCAGATGCAGGTTACTTCCATCAAAAAGTCCTCCATGAAGGCAAAATTTCTCCCAATACTTGATCCAGGAGTTCCCTTGTCTTCTGGATTGGGTTAAAAATTACAAGGCTACGGAGTTGAACATTTATAGTCATAAACCCTAAAATTGGGTCGGCTGTTCAATAACGGTTATAAAATAAAATATAAAAATTATAAAATCTCGCCAAAAACGAAATTGTAATAACTAAATAATGCAATTGCCACCATTTACATTGTTTAATCTTGAATTTTACTATTCTTAATGCCGACAAGATTAAACTTGATTCGAGTTGATAAAGCCCGGATTCTATATAATTTTATTTAGATATCAATTAAAAACGATTTAGACGAGGAAAAAAAATAGTGACCCTAAAATTTTGAAAGCATTTAAAATACCTTTGAAAATAAATTACTCGTAATAAAGAATCAAAGAGGGCTTTAGGGAACATGCCCAGGGGGCCTCAACTTTTCGAAAGTCCTCGAATTCCAGTAAACTGTATATTTTTAAAATTTTTATTACATTACTAAAGAGAGGTCAATAGATTTTTTAAAAAATATTCGAATAAATAATTTTAAAATATATTCGAATAAATAGTTTTAAAAAATATTCGAATGAATAATTTAAAAAATACAGGAATAAAAATTTTAAAAAATATTCGAATGAATAATTTAAAAAAATATTCGCATGAATAAATAAAAAAAATATTCGTATAAATGATTTAAAAAAATATTTGAATGAATAATTTAAAAAAAAAATATTCGAATAAATAATTTTAAAAAATATTCGAATAAATAACTTTAAAAAATATTCGAATAAAAAATTGAAAAAAAAAATTATTCTCTGTTTTCACTTATGGCTTTTCTAAAAAGTTCCCAAATGACAAAGAATTTTGTAACTTGAGTATTAAAGCAAAGGAAGGCTTACTTGGAAAAGTTTATAGATCCTTTATGAAGCTATTGCAACAGTCACAAATTCCACTACTTGTTATTCGTCTGTGACGAAACTGTATCACATTAAGTTATTTTGAGATACTAGATATCCGATTTCGCCATTTATCTCAAAATAATCAGTAAACCGAAACTTTAAAAGGCTTATTATTTTGTTCTACGGTATTCATGCATCAAGAATCAGTCTGAAATGATTTTCATGCAATTGATTATTTATTTTTATTTTTTAGCAGTAATTTTTTAAAAATAATACTACACACCGTTTCGAATTCGAATACAAGC